GTTCCCATTAGTGGGAGCAGTCGGTTCCTCGCAGTGGTCGCTCTGAGGTCCCTGACTCTGCTGGCTGTGAGGAGGGGCCTCCGAGTGTCCTAAAGCCATTCGTGTTCTGTGGCTCATGGCCTGTCCACCTTCAGGCCGGCAAGGCCCTTCAGATGCCTGATGCCTCCCCAGCCAGAGGAAGCCTCATGCCTAAGGTCTCACATGCTGTGTTGCATAGGACATCCGGGTCAGTGCGACGGTGTCTGCAGAACCATGGGTTCCTGGGGTGGGGGTGCTGTTACACGTGCAGGCAGACTCCCATGCCGTGGGGATGGGCCCCGAGGAGGCTGCGGTTTTCTCGCCCAGCGCACTCCCTCGGCTGGACGCCAGCCCGTCACAATGACTCTTGCAGATCACCAGTCCTGCCCTCTGGCTGGTTGTCACCACTGAGCCCAGGTGAGCCCTGCAAGCTAGGAGAACTGTTCTGTGCCCCCTCACGGACGGATCTTTAAAATAGGTCATTTCAGAAAAGCTTAAGGAAAGCCAAGTGAATATATGAACTTGCAGTGGTCACGAAGTCCCTCTCTAGAGGTGTCCTGCGTTGGCCAGCTCAGAAAGGTGCTGTCCCTGTGCAGGTGTGCTGGGGACACGCCCACCTCTCCTCTGGAATCTCGCTCTGAGCAGAGCAGCTCTGCAGAGACATGGGCAGCACTCCTCCTGCACTGCAGCCTCGGGGGGACGGATGGTGGCTTGCCCAGGGCCCAGCTTCAGAGTGCTGTGCTTCAGGAGGAGCAAGAGGACCCTTGCCATTCCTCCTTGGGCCTTGCTGACCCCTGCCGACTGCTATGCCTGAGCCCCTCAGGGAAGGACAGAGTGTGTGTCTTCATCCGTGTTCCAGTGCCAAGCTCAGGCGAGCTGCTGAGCTGGTGCTGAATGAGTGAGTGAAAGGAGGAGGACCTGCCAGGCAGGCCACGGGCGGGGGCTGGTGGCCTTTCTGTGTGGTATTCATAAGCATGTGCTGAAGGGAACTTTGTCGTTTGTCTTAGAATTTTCAAACATTTGTTTGCCAACTCTGAAGCATTTAAATACAGAAGAGTTGAAATCTGTTGCAGCTTATCTGCTTGTCTTCCTGAAGAGCGATGAAACTAGTTTTGTGCCTTGTAATATACAGTGCAAAACAGAGCCCATTCCAAATGCTCTATATTGTAGTCAAAGAGCATCCCTGTTTTTAAAAATGTCTTCCATGAGAGATGCAGGGAGAGATGCAGGGAGAGAAGAGGGAAAGAAAGAGCTCGGCCCTCTTTACAGAGTCTTCTCGAATTGTGATCCTTTCCCAGCCTCAGCCAGTCAGGGTCATGGGCTCCTGCGTGCACAGGGGTGTGAGCCTGGGGAGCGCCCGTGTTGCCTGTGCCACTGGGGCTGGCCCGTTTAGTTTACTGTTACTCTTTTCTTACTGTAAAGTTACAGCTAACTATCAAGAATTAGAAAACTGGGAAGAGCATGGTGACCCGCCCTGCCCTGGGCCGTGGTGGCATGTGCTCTGCAGCTGTAGGGTCGGGCTGCATCTGGTCCCTGTGCAGAGGTTTCTCAGTGATGGGTAGGCTCCAGGGGTCCCGTGGCAGCAGCGCCCCGTGCGCCATTTCCCTGGGGGCTATACCCTGCTTCCTGAGTCAGTGCTGGGTACTCTGCCTCTTAGGCTTCACTTGTAGTGTTAGGCTGGAGTTAATTTCCAAAGTGAGTGTGTGGGTGTAGATAGTTTGGTTTCCATCTTTCCGCATCAGAAAGAGGTTTTGGATCCCCATAAGTTTGTAGAATCTGTTGCTCTGAAGGAATGGCTGAGATGCAGTTGGTTAAGGGAAATGAAAAGGCTGCTATGTTTGTGTTTTTTGCTTCAGACTTTCTGGCTGGAGCCCGGTGCTTGCTGGGCTAGGCCACCCCAGCACTCCTGGGGCTGGCTCTGGCTGATCACATCAAGTTCTGGCAGGTCTAGGGGCTGAACGTGGTTCCCCTCCTGGGGAGCATGCCTGTGGTACCCCTTTACCACATGTGCTAACTAAGGAGGTCGGAAGCAAGTTGTGAATTGTCATGTGAGGGGTAGAAGGCTGCCTTTCCCGTTCTCTCTTCTCGCAGGAAATTGAAACTGAAAGTTAGGTTCTGCTTGCTGCTTACTGGACAGGAACATCTTTTCCTTGGTTCTTGAAAATACAGACAGCTTTTGCCCTCGCGCCAAAACTTTTGGAGAAACTGCTCAAGGCTGACTGCGAGTCTTCCCAGGCAGTCTGCGCCCACTGCCCAGGACTGACCTGGTGCCTCGGACTTGAGAGAGCGTGCCTTGCTGTGTTTAAAGTTTAAGCAATGCAACTGTGGTGTCTGTTTTACAGCTTTTAAATAAGAGTCTTATCTTAAAAGTTTTTTTCTTCTGTCAAAGAGACAGACAGCAAAAAGGGTCTTGAAGCCTTCATGTGCCCCCAGTTCTGCCAGCCCAGTCACAGGTGCGTGCGTGCCTGGTGTATACTCAGAGGTCTCGGGATTCAAGCCTGGAACCAGGTGGGCTAGTCTCGCAGAGCTATCTTACCCTTCCCAGAGTCCTGGGACCCCGATGACTTGTAGCAGGGAGTGTGCTGCTTGCTGCGTGTCACCTGTGTGCAGTTGGCTGTGAGTTTATTACTCTGTGCACACAGCAGGAGTGGACGGAGCATGCTATCCCTGAGCTGTCTGCAGTCCTGACAGTGTTCTGTGTGCGGCTAGGAGCCCACATGGCTATGCGGAGTGCCAGGCCGCAGCCAGCCCAGCACCGGCCAGCTGAACTGTGCGTGGAGATGGCAGTTTCTGCTCCGTCCGTACTGCAGTCCCCAGCGAATGTGGGTCTTGAGTACGTGAAATGTGACTGCTGCTACCAAGAAACTGAATTTTAACTTAAGAGTTCAGTGGTCATGTATGTGGCTAGCAGCAGACTGGAGTGATTTTAGACTATTTGAAACACAGCACTGGATTCAGTAACTGTTGCTGAGCTAAATGGAAACACACACCAGTTACAGCTGTGTTAGGCAACAGAAGACTGCCGGAAAAGCTCTAGAAATTATATTTCTGAGTGTCCATTGCAAATTCTTTTTAAAGACTGCTGTTTCTGTAACACATGGAAATAAAGCAGGTTCACAGTGGAGTGCATTGTGGACTCACTTCCCAGCATGGGGGTCTCTAGTCCAGGAGGGCCAGGTGTGGGCGTTTGTGCACACAGGTGACCCCAGTGTCCAGCCAGCCCCTTCTCTGTCTGGAAGTCCCCTCAGCCACAGCCTGTAGCTCGCATGCCTGGGACTCACACGTGGGGGCGCTGGGTATCTGGGAGTCTCCCTGGGTGCCTAGAGCAGGCCTTTGAGCTGGGTGATGTTACTCCTGTTTGCAGACAGAAAGCCAAAGCCTGGGTAGACCCGTTGTGATCTGGCAAAAGGTGGCATACTCAGAGTGTCATTCCAGGGCTGACCTCTGAGCACTCCGTCACCAAGACTCAGGTGGAACATGGCACCTCGCTCTGCAACCCTGCTTAAAATACGTCACTGGGCCCTTTCCCTTCTTGCCGTTCAGTTTTCCTGGAGAGAACAGAGTCTCCTTGAGGCACTTGGTGTGGTTCCTCCGGTGAGGCTGCTGGATAGTCGCTGTGACAAGGAAGCTGGGGTGGGGAGCATTGGGAAGGACCCCTGGGAGAAGGAGGCCTGCTGTGCAGTGCATTGAAGGTGAGGATTGGGCTGCCTATGGCTCCAGACCAGCCACAGTCCCTTCTCCATTCTCTCTGGGTTTTGGGCAGGCACACACACACACATGTGCGTGGTGTGAGTTTTAAACTGGATCCCTGAGCTGTCTGCAGTCCTGACAGTGTTCTGTGTGCGGCTAGGAGCCCACATGGCTATGCGGAGTGCCAGGCCGCAGCCAGCCCAGCACCGGCCAGCTGAACTGTGCGTGGAGATGGCAGTTTCTGCTCCGTCCGTACTGCAGTCCCCAGCGAATGTGGGTCTTGAGTACGTGAAATGTGACTGCTGCTACCAAGAAACTGAATTTTAACTTAAGAGTTCAGTGGTCATGTATGTGGCTAGCAGCAGACTGGAGTGATTTTAGACTATTTGAAACACAGCACTGGATTCAGTAACTGTTGCTGAGCTAAATGGAAACACACACCAGTTACAGCTGTGTTAGGCAACAGAAGACTGCCGGAAAAGCTCTAGAAATTATATTTCTGAGTGTCCATTGCAAATTCTTTTTAAAGACTGCTGTTTCTGTAACACATGGAAATAAAGCAGGTTCACAGTGGAGTGCATTGTGGACTCACTTCCCAGCATGGGGGTCTCTAGTCCAGGAGGGCCAGGTGTGGGCGTTTGTGCACACAGGTGACCCCAGTGTCCAGCCAGCCCCTTCTCTGTCTGGAAGTCCCCTCAGCCACAGCCTGTAGCTCGCATGCCTGGGACTCACACGTGGGGGCGCTGGGTATCTGGGAGTCTCCCTGGGTGCCTAGAGCAGGCCTTTGAGCTGGGTGATGTTACTCCTGTTTGCAGACAGAAAGCCAAAGCCTGGGTAGACCCGTTGTGATCTGGCAAAAGGTGGCATACTCAGAGTGTCATTCCAGGGCTGACCTCTGAGCACTCCGTCACCAAGACTCAGGTGGAACATGGCACCTCGCTCTGCAACCCTGCTTAAAATACGTCACTGGGCCCTTTCCCTTCTTGCCGTTCAGTTTTCCTGGAGAGAACAGAGTCTCCTTGAGGCACTTGGTGTGGTTCCTCCGGTGAGGCTGCTGGATAGTCGCTGTGACAAGGAAGCTGGGGTGGGGAGCATTGGGAAGGACCCCTGGGAGAAGGAGGCCTGCTGTGCAGTGCATTGAAGGTGAGGATTGGGCTGCCTATGGCTCCAGACCAGCCACAGTCCCTTCTCCATTCTCTCTGGGTTTTGGGCAGGCACACACACACACATGTGCGTGGTGTGAGTTTTAAACTGGGACTCCAACTGCGGTAGGCCACATGGAAGTCTTATGCCACCTGTTGGCCCCATGTTTTATTTTCTTTCAGTTTCTAAAGCCGGTCAACCCCACCACCCAGAAATACCACGATGGAATTGGTGACTGCCCCTGCAGCCCTTTTTCTAAAAGTCCATGGGATGAGCAAAAGAGCTGTGTTCACTAGAATTCATGTTGTCCTTCCATGTTTGCTAAATTATTTATTTTCCTGGAAAATGAGATGTCCAACTTCAAGTACAACTTCAACTAAGAACGTAAAATGTGAAGAAACTGGGTGTGACTGAGTGCAAACACTGGGTCTCGCTCACACGCCGGGACTAAGCGCACATGCCTGGGTCTTGCGCACATGCCAGGACTGAGCGCACTCGCCGGGTCTCGCTCACACGCCGGGTCTCGTTCACACGCTGGGTCTCGCTCACATGCTGGGTCTTGCTCACACGCTGGGTCTCGCTCACATGCCGGGTCTTGCTCACACACCGGGTCTCATTCACACGCCGGGACTGAGTGCACACACCGGGTCTCACGCACACGCTGGGTCTTGCTCACACGCCGGGGTCTTGTGCACACACTGGGACTGAGTACACATGCTGGGGTCTTGCTCACGTGCTGGGACTGAGAGCACACGCTGGGACTGAGTGCACACGCCAGGTCTCGCTCACACACTGAGGTCTCGTGCACACACTGGGACTGAGTGCACACGCCGGGGTCTTGCTCACATGCCGGGGACTCGCGCACACGCTGGGACTGAGTGCACATGCCGGGTTTCGCTCACACGCCGCTTTGCCCGCTGCCATGCAGGCTGGAGAAGTCGGCCCTTGTGTATCTCTTCCCGCCTCCTGACCTCTGTCACACCTGTGGCACTGCCCTTAGGATCTGTGACAGCGCCGTCTGATTTCCCCGGCCCTCTAGCTGGACAGGCTCTTGGACACGTGCCTGCTTGGTGTGTTTCAGGGTTACTTGGGACCCAGACCTGGGGTTGGCCATGTGGCTTCCAGCACTACACACAGCATGATACTGTGCCCTAAAGGTTTAAAAAAAATTTTTTTTTAAGTTTTTATCTTTTCCATGTGGCAGGGAGAGGGAGAACATGAGGGAGGTGGTTAGATATTCTCTTGTCCTCCGTGGCAGTGGCTGCCCTCAGTTGTCAAAATCCTCAGTTCTGGGTGGCTCTGGGAGTCAGGTGGGCATCACCAGCCCCTGCCTGCATGGGGGAAGCCCAGCAGAGGGCAAGGCCAGAGCCACGTGTCCAGGGGACATGCTGCGCCGTGTCGGCAGTGCCCCTGCTGTACTGAGAAGGCAGAGCAGAGTCCCGACTGACGACCCTTGTCACAGTTCCCCAGCTTTCAGAGCCGATGCGTAGTAGGCTCCTGTCAGTGTAGCTGTGAGTGTGTCTGACTGACTGCGCAGTGCTGCGTGGGAGGACTCCCTCCGGGAATGTGGGCAGCTCCCATCCTCCTCCTTTACCTCTCAAGGCCTGCAGGAGGGATGCGGGTGGGCCCTCTTACCCGGGAGCAGGGAGAGGCAGGTGGCTGCTGACAGACCAGTGCCCAGCACAGGCTGCGCCAGGTCCTGCTGTGTTCTCCATTCCCAGGGAGCCAAGTTCTGTTGCAGTGTGCGTGCCCTGGAGGCCTGCAGGAGACCCCGGTGTGTCAGTGTTTCAGATGCGCATAACTCGAGACAGCTGGCAACCCTCCAGGTAGAGACTGGATTGACCTGTGGGAACCAGAAGGCAAGGGCCCGTCTGTGAGCTGCTTCAGGGTGCTGTGTGTGGGGCACGGCTAGAGCTTTAACTTCCTGGCTTAGGTGTCTTTCCATGACCTCAGGCCACTGCCTGATGGCCCTAGCCTGGTCTCTATTAGCATGCCTCTTGATGTCCCTGCTCCTGGTGGTGTCCTTGAATAGTGCTGTGAGGAGAGGCCGTGGCTCCAGGTGAGCTCGGTTCCCCTGGAGAGTCCAGTGCTGCTCCCGACAGGTGCTGTGGTGACAGTGGGGTGCAGGAGGTCTGCCAGACCCCTCGGTGATGAAGAAAGGCTCTGCTCTGGACTGTCACCTGCTCGGAGCATCCCTAATTCTGGCAGTGCTGTGCAGCGGGGAATCTCAGGTGACACCCCAGACTCCCCGTGACTGGCCAGGCTGATGGAAAGGGCAGTGTGTGGTTGGTGCTCAGGAATTGACGAGGTGGAAGACTGATGCCTAAAACCTCGCTGCTTGGTAGATACTGTGAGGGAATTATTTTATCTTATTGTTGTATGACTTACTTTCTTTTGGGATCTGTTAAAAACTGGTGTAAAAATTTGGGAACCAGCAGTTAGCGTAATGGCTATGTCGCTGGACTCCCACGCAGTCGACTGCGGTTTGCGTCCCGGACCTGGTGCTTAAAACTCATGCCGGGCGCATGTGCGTACGTACCGAAGATCCCGAGAGGAGAATGGAGGAGAAGGGATTGCGGCGTGACCATCCCCTCTTGGGGGTGATTTCTCGCTTTCTGTCTTTCTGTCTCTCTCTGTCTGGCGAGAGCACGCGCCCTATAATGAAAACCTCTCAAAAAAATAAAAAAACTGGTGTAAAATTTTTTTATTTTCCCCCAAGTGATAAATCAAATTACATCCTAGTCTGATATGTGGGCAAGGGTGTTCAGTGTTTATTTTCTACTACGACAAAGTAAACTTTTATACTTCTAGTGGCCTTACTGGCTGTTAAACCTGCTGTGTGTATTTGGGATGGTTATTCAAAATGATTTTTTTTTTGTTTTTTGGTGAAGAGGAGGCTGATAGCTGGGGGCGGGGGGGGGGATGGTTGACGTGTGCTGTACAAGGGGGGTGGGATGGTTGACGTTTACCTTAAACGGGAGCTGAACTGCAGGCCGGTGACATCACTTACCTTGCACTCTAACAGGCTGTGCTGAGGAATGTCTGTCGTCCGGCCAGCTACAGTAGTTTGCTAGCTGTTAATCTGTCCATGTTCAGTTTTGCTATTTTACTATTTTTTTCACTAATCAACCTTAAAATGGAAGCAGGTGAATTTGATTTATTTTAATTTCTAGGACTGGATAATCTGTCCTTCTTTCTCAATCTTTTAATTCCTTAAACTAAGAGAGGAGATGGGTGCTTTCTCCCTGTTGTCTGTAGTGACTCCCAGGACTGGCTTCTTCTAGCGGGGCGAGGCAGAACCAGAGCCAGGGGCGGCACCTGGGGCAGAGGCGTTGCACCAGGGCCTGTAGGTTCTCTCACTTGTACCCATGACCACAAGCTTTGTGGAGAGGGCGTCCTTGGCCTGCCGTGCGGCGTCGGGCTGGACACTGCGATGTTGGACCAGAGGCCTCTGCTGTCTGCTTCTTGGTATTGGATGCATCCAATACTGGACTTAGGGTGCATCAGCTGGGACTTGGGCTGACCTCACCAGCTGAGACTCGGGCCTTGGGCTTCTGTGAGACATGTGTCCCCTCCTGGTCTCATGTGTCCTGGGTGGGTGACCTGTAGCACGAGGCACAGGTGAGTGCCTGTGGGGCTCTGTGACACCTCCATGCTGGGGGAGCCCCGTGGTAAGCACGGTCCGGGTGCCGTCAGCTTTAATGCAGGGGGCCCGTTTCTCTTGGTGGGAAGTCCCTGAGCAGCTGCTGCAGGTGGGCCTTTGAAGGCCAGGTGTGGACGGGCTGATCTGGCATTGACCAGGTCCGCTCAGGTTTGTCTGCAGTGCCGCACACGGCGTGGTCCCCGCCCCAGGGCTTTCCGTGCTGACAGCTCTGAGGGTGGGAGCGGAACTGGATCTTGACGGTGTGTCCAGTGCTACGCCGACCTGGTACTCAGTTGGAAGTCCGCGAGGTGGAATTGTGACTCCAGCATGTCTTCTCTTTTGTCCACTAGACTTCATGAGGAAATAATTGACTTTTATAACTTCATGTCCCCTTGTCCTGAAGAAGCAGCCATGAGAAGAGAGGTGGTGAAACGGATCGAAACTGTGGTTAAAGACCTCTGGCCGGCGGCTGATGTGGGTACCCTCCTTGCCCCAAGTCCCTTCACCCGCACATAGCTCGCGCGTGCACGCACTTCTCACCGGCCCAGGCCAGGCAGCCGTCCCCGAGCGCAGAGCTGAGCTGGGCGGCCTCGGGGGGTCCTGGTAGAAATGCACATTCCAGACCCCCAGTGCAGAGCAGACGTCTGGGCTGAGTGTCTGGTTTAATACTCGGGCCGTGCTCAAGAGTCCAGGGATTGGACTGGCGTGCTGATTTTCCTTGGCCAAAAGTCACTGCAGTTAGAGATTTCACCCACAGCCCCTAAGTTACCCCCCATCAGGGCACATAGTGGCACACGCCTGTTTGTACACCCTCATGGTGACCCAGCAGGTATTTGCCGATCTGCGGTACATGCTCGGCCGTGTTACAGGCCACCTGCTATAGGCCACCCTTGCTCGTGTTCAGCCAGTTCCTTCCCTGCTGACAGCCTGAGTGATCGTGACGCCTGGTGCCTGGACTCAGCTGTGGATGGTGCAGGTGTTCTCAGTGGGCACGGCCACACTCAGCTGGCCTGGTGCCTTGGCTGCGGGTTCGAGAGACTGATGAGGGCTTGAAACTGGCTCTGAAAAGTTGTCAGCTTTGAGGGGCTGTGGGTAAGGACAGGAGTTGTTTCATCCTTTAATTCTGAGTTTTTAAAGATTCCTTTTGGGGTAAATCTTTAACTTAAAAGGAATTTTCTAGTTGGTTTTAGGACTGTTTTTGGCCTGCCTTACCCTCAATCCTCCTTGTAACCTCCTCGTAAGGTAGTTTCACTTTTTACCCAACGGTGCAGTGAAGCCCTTTGTTCAGTTAAAAAGTAACACAAGGATGACCCTTGAATTGTGCGCGTTTTAAGACATCCACTCCTTTTTTTTAGGTGCAGATATTTGGCAGCTTTAGTACAGGTCTCTACCTTCCAACGAGGTGAGTACCCGGTGGAGTGCGCAGGTCAGTCGCTTGCGTGTTACTGTGTGCCCGTGCACGTAGTAGGGATAAAGTCGATTCTTTGGAGCCAGCAAGTGGCCCAGTGGGTAAGGTGCTGGACTCGGACATGGCTGACCATGGTTTGAATCCTGGGTGCAGACACTTGAAACTAATGTGGGCACATGTGTGTGCAGATCCAAAATCCCAGAGGGCAAGGGACTGTGTGTGGCCATCCCCCACGAGGGGTGAGTTCTCACTTTCCCTTCCATTGTCTGGCCCTAGTGAGCATTTGCACCTATGGTAAAAGCCTTTTTAAAAAAATACTGGTTCTTTGTAGTCAGGTGCAGTTGGCACAGGGGTGAGGCCTGGACACAGCCTCGGCTGGCCTGGGCAGGCACCGTTGTACGCAGAACTGCTGGGGAGTCCTGTAAGCTGTGACCTCCCTCGCCGCCTTAGCAGTAGCTGACCAGCTCGTTTATCTCCCTGTGGGGGATGACTGAAGGAGAGGCAGGCATATGTGCTGGGATTCTCGTCCTCCCCCATGGGGTCGCCTGTGATCCTGAGCAGAGGGTGACATGCTCTTCTCTCCCACCCAGTGACATAGATCTGGTGGTCTTTGGGAAGTGGGAACGTCCTCCTCTGCAGCTGTTGGAGCAGGCCCTGCGGAAGCACAACGTGGCTGAGCCCTGCTCCATCAAAGTCCTGGACAAAGCCACGGTGAGTGCACCCCAGCCCCAGCGCGGTTGCTCAGTCCTCCTGGCGCTAGCCACGGTGAGTGCACCCCGGCCCCGGTGCGGGCATGGTCACACAGTCCTCCTGGCAGTAGCCACGTGAGTGCCACCTCGGCCCCTCCGCACGCTGAGAGAGTTGGACAGTCCTCCCGGTACTAGTTCACACTGCTTTCCTGCAGTTGGGCCACGTCTCTGAAAGTTTCTCCATGTCAGTGTGAACATCCTGCGTGTTCCATTTGCATTTCATAGTCAGGATTGCAGGCTGAGAGCAGGCTTTGTGAGAGCCTGCACTCCTGGGATTTGCGAGGTCCTCAGACTGCTCTTGGCACTGGAATGTAAGACGGTGGGCACTGGGTGTGCTGCGGACGGGCCAGAGGCTGGTGTCTGAAACGAGGCCTGCCGACATTCAGGTGCGGAGTGTGCGGCTCAGTGACTGGGCTGTGCCGTTTCTGGACAGAAGAGGACCACTGCTTGCTATGTTACATCCAAGAAAGAAAAAATTATCTCTGGTCCTTTTCATGGTTCCAAAAAACATCTGTATAGGAGAAGCTCGCTCTGGGGAGAAGCGGCGACACGGCGTCGGACAGGCCCCTGTTGGTGTGTACCCGCTCAGGAGCTGTCGTGTACCGTCCCTGGCTCGCCTGTGCGGAGGCTGGCGGCTGTTTCTCTTGGGTGCTTTGACTTGCAGTGATGCGCGGTCCGCATCCTCCTGGCGGAAGCAGATCGGCTAGGTCGGGGGGGGGGCCCCGGGGCGCCCCCCCGGGGGGGCGGCAGTG